ACTGGTTTATGTGTATTGAACATCTGTTCTGTTACACGTTTAAACCAGTTTCTGATCACTTAAACTGGTTTATGTGTAATGTCTGTCCCTAGCTGTTGGGTTTGGCAGGTTCTGTAAAATCTTGCTTTGTAGGAAATATTGAGGCACTTGAATTAAGGAAAAATAGTGTGATGTTTCTTTATTTCAAACATTTGGCCCCAGCAGGCAAATCCATCCTGTGCTCCTAGGAGATAAAAGGCCAGAGCCTTAAGCACTGAATCAGGATATTTTGTAAGAGAAATGTATAATGTAATTTAAACACTATTAGGTGAGGTCTGCTGTGGTTTCTGAAGTGAATGCAATTCTAAGCTTCCACAACCTGCCTTGGAATTAATACTGTTTCATAACAGCTGCCCTTGCTGAACCAAAGTGTTATGAGGGCAGACCTCTGAGAGTCGCTCCCCCTTTCTGTGAAGAATGTGTTACATAGTATTCTGAGACAGCCTAAACATGCCTAGATGTGGTGCCTGTGTCTCACTGTAGGGAAGCGCGGCATTAAGGGAGGAGGTAGCTGCAGCCTACTTGGCTCTGATAGCCTCAGTTATAGTTCAACACCTTGTATATTGAATCCAAATATCTTCTCTCTCTTGTAGTTATGACCTACATCCAATTAGCTCCATATTAGTTAGAAGTCCTTCCAAGAGGCATCTGAGCTTCTGCAGCACCTAGTGTGGCTTAGACATGTGCGTGAATCTATTGGACCAAGTCTTGTCAGTGGCTCTTACTGTTGTGCTGATACAGTCTCTGACACAGGGACCTGAATCTGGAGCTATTTCTCATATACTCTGTCTGACCTTTTGTAACCAATAGAATCTTAAGGCTTTCAGATAGGAAGAAGGTGTTTTAAGGGCAAGATTGTGTTTTGGAAGAACCAGAGAATCAGAGCTTCTGGGACAGCTTTACTGAACCAAAATGAGTGATGTGGAGGGAGTGTGACTGGCGCTTTCCTCTACACCAGCAGGTACTTCTGTAGGAAATGGGTAACATTATCCTCAAGTGATGATTCTCAACCAGGGAGCTGCAGGACCTTGGGATACTGCATGATCCTTTTAGGAGTGCTGTGGGGTACCACATAATGTTATCACTGTTAGGGGTTCAAACACCTATACATGATTCATAAGGTAAACCCAGAGATTTCAAATAGGAATCCATAGTGTCAAAAACATGCTGGCCTGTTGTGGTCTTTCTGAGATTTTTTTGCAACAGAAGAATTACTCTAGTATTTTTCCATAGTCTAAAAAATGAGTGAAATTTAGTTTTTGAAATGGGGTGCTGCAAAATTCAGAAAAGTTTTGGAGGGGTGCCTCAAGTCTAAAAAGGGTGAGAAACACTGTCCTAGAGTATAACCTGTGCCTGAGTTGTCTTATGATAACTTGTAAGCATATTTGTGTGCCAGACCAAGTTACCACATATCTTATTCCTCCTGAAACAATCCTGGCCCAGAGAAAACCACCAGGATGTGCATTATGCCTTTCCACAGACGCCAAAAAAATCTTTGTTCAAATCCAAAGCCCATTCCAGTTTATGGAAAAATTCCCATTGACTGCAATGGGCATTGGGTTTGGTCCCTCTTGAAACTGACTTAAAAACTAGCAATCGATCACATTATGCTTCCCCCTTTTCCCTGGCTTGCTATTTATATCTTTTATCATGGCTCAGATTCATTATTTTCCAGTGGACTCCAGGATGAGTATGTGACTCATCTAGTCACTGCTAGATGACAAAAGCACTGCTAGTATGTTTTTTTAGTGGTGACTAGTTACAGTATAGTACTCTCATTATCAATCTTGTGTTAATGTCACAATCTTCTATCCTTTTTAGTTCTGATTGTACCTTTTCACAAACTCATGGTGGCAGCTCTTTATTTTAATAATAAATCTTGCAGAGTGAAGCAGACAGTAGTTCCATAATAGAGAGTGTTTGGGAACGTAGTTTCCCCTCATTAAAACATTATCTTCAATCCCTTAAAGACAAATCCGTGAAGAAACCGACATTTGCAAAGTTGAAAAAGACAATATTGATAAGAGATAGATAATGGTAAATCCTGGCTATCAACAAAAGGAAGAGTTTTCAGAGGTGACTAGAGCTTTTGGATGCTTGGCTTGATGCACCATTGAGGTGGTTTGATTTTTTCACAAGGGACACAGACAGAAGTGACATTTTTCACATGACTTGCCCCTGACAGCGCTCTACAGCCATGTCATAACATATGTACACGATTGCAGAAAGCTTTTAAAATGGCCAATTATATGACAATGTAACACTTGTTAAATCAGGGAGTAAATGAAGGAGCTCTAAATTAGAGTGCCTTAGGGAACCTGTATACAGTTCGCTACAAGGGTTATGTGTCATGCCCCTGGTCTGCCACAGGGAGGAGGCACAGAGTCTCCTCCCTGTGCAGCCAGCCAGCAGGTGGGGGAGGGGGAGCAGCAGGGCAGCAACTGGGGGTGGAGGTGTCCCAAGAGGCCCCCTCCCAGTGGGAGAAGGTGCCTGGTGTAGAGGGCACAGTCCCTGAGCTGCCCTCACACTGCCCCCCCGCCGCTCCCCTCAAGAGAATGAATCCTGACTGGCTCTTTGCAGCCAGCTGGAAGGTGGGGGTGGGGGAGCAGCTGGGTAGCAATTGGGCTTGCTGGCTTCCACACAAGGCTTCAGAGCTCCTTGCCCCCTGGCTTCGACCACTGCATGGAGGCACTCAGCCCCCACCGTCAAATACTGAACGCCTGTTAGTTTCCATGATGGTGTAAGTTTTTAAGTGTTTTATGTAAAGTGCAAAAAGTTACAGCATGATCAAGGTTCCCATCAGTCTCTTCCGTATGCACCCACGGTGAAAGAAAACTCAGCAGGCCCCTAAAACTGGACTTCACCTAATCATGTCCATTACATAAGCTCCATTACAAAGGCTCATGACTGGAATCCCATTGTGCAAAGTTTAGATTTCAGAACCACTGCCTTAGACTGGAAAGTGGGATGTTATGGCACCCTGGGGTACTGAGAGCCTTCTGTTAGGTGTGCAAACACCTATACATGATTAAGATAAACCCAGAGATTTCAAATAGGGATCCCGAGTATCAAAAACATCCTAATCTGCTGTAATCTTTCTGAGTTCTTTCAATGGTATTACTCTGTTATTTTTCTGTAGTCAAGAAACAAATGAAAGCTAAGAGCCAGTGTTTTTCAAGGTGTGCCTTGAATCTAACGAGGCTGAGAACCACTGATCTAAACAGTTGGGGGTAGAACACAAGTAGAGCAAACAGTGTGATGGTTCCAACCATTAAGTTGGTCTAACAAAAGACATCACATCTACCAAAAGAAACTTGCCCACCAAGCCAAGTGGCATTCTACCTCCACTATTTTGGAGGGCAGGGGGCAGCAGTGGCACAGCAGTTCCTGCTTTGGTTGTTTCTACAGGTGCTCTCAGTCTGGAGTCTATGGCTGGCTTGTCTCCTGGCTGGGAACATGACAGGAGCAAAAACTATGACATAGAGCAACAAGGGAGTTGATGAGACCTAGCACAAAGGAAATTCATGAGGCAAATGACTTCCTTCAGAGCTCAGCGACCACCACAAAATTTACATTTTAAAAAAGGCAACTTTTGCAAAATTAACTTTATAAGTAAGCTGTTTTTTGGCCTGAAATTTCTGCCATAGACCAAGCACCTTGTTCATGACCTAATGAAGCACTTCAGGACTTTGTGCACTAACTTTGCTTGCTTGCTTGCTTCCAGCCATGTATTTTACCCTACTGCATCCCATGCAACCGAAGCACATGCCCAAGTGCTTTGCTGAATCAAGGCTTATAGCAGGTACAGGAAAACACACAAGCTAGAAAGTAGGGGTGTGTGAACCAGGCCCTATTCAATTCTGATTCAGCCTGAATCGGACACAGTGATTCAATTCTTTGATTTGGATCACAGTCCCTGATTCGATTCAGCTGAATCCAAATATGAATATTCGATGCTGATTCGGAGAATCAGCAATTCGGATGTAGACACAGCTTTAGATGTTTTTTCTACATAACTTGAAGTACCAATGTGGCTCGTGAACACTGCGATGCTGCAGCGCGTGGAGTGTCCCACAGGAGTGTGGGGGAGCTCTCCATGTGCTCGGCGGTGAACCTGGAAGTGAACCAAAAGTACCTCAGTCCACTTCCAGGTCCACTGGGGAGCACGTTGCCCCCCCCCCCCCAA